TGGAGCCCTGGGGGCTCCTCCTGCCTACCAAGTCCGCCTCGTACAGAGTTTTCATGGGATCATAGAATGCCCTTCTGTCGCTGCCCACTTCTTCCTTCTCCAGTCCCTGGTACCCCTAAAATTAAAGAAAAATGAACGGTTTGGTGGTGTAGGTATAAAATCGGGAGGTTTAGCAAGGGCTCATGACAAGCCGTTCAGTAAATAGTGTGCAGCAGGCCCTCTCCTCATCTGCGTCGAGCCTTGTGGCGGCCGAGTGCAGAACTTTTGGTACTGGATTGCCTGCGTCCAGTACCTGTTTGCACAGGTGTCAGCCACTTCATGGCCTGCAAGGCGGTGATGGATCAAGAAAAAAAACACCTTAGTGTTTGGAGGCAAAACTGGGTTTCATTCAGGTAGGTTTGGCTCCAAGAAGGCAAAGCTTCAAGAACAACTTGCCTTGAGGTTGCAGGATGAAGTCAGCAATGTACTTTTGGGAAAAGAAGAGATGTCTGTTTAAGAAAGTAGCCGAAGAAAGGAAGGAGAGGGAGGACGACTGATGTAATTATTGCTTCCTTCCAGTAAGTCATGGTTCACCCCGAGTCCTCTCGCGCCATCCCAATACCTCTCAGCTGCTGGAGAGAACTTGTGAAAACATAGCCCCAGCAACGGAGCCAGACTGCCTTATACCGCACATCTTCAAAGGGGAGCAATGCTCCTTACATCCTGTTGATGTAAATAATTGCAGTGACAAATAGATCCACCAGAGTGAAATAATGCATCGGGCTTTCTGGCAGTTTGCCTTGCCGTGAAAAACACGTGTCCAGGAGCAAACCCTGCAAATTTTCTGTTCTATAGCAGGTGGTGTGTGCACGAATGAGGAGCTGGGGCTTCTGCTTTGCCTCTTTTGTACTTTAAAATGGTCTTTTAGGTTTTTTCCTCCCAAATTCAATCCTTGTCTGAGCTGTCTTTCCCTTTCAAGCTGTGTTTCTTTGACTGCTAACATCCAGTGGAAGAAAGAAGTAGGTATCTGGCTTCACCCATTGGAGTGTGTATCATGGGGGGTGCTGCACATATAGAGCAGGTAGTTTCACAGTGCACAGTTTATATTGCTAACCTGTTGTTTTTTCTTGTAGTTTGCTGCCAAAGTTGTCTGGGTGGTGGCTGGTCTGTGCCATTGGAGAACTTTGAGGGTGTGGGGGGGAAACTGTCTGCTTTCTTTGTGTCTGATGTCACTGTGCAAGAACCAAAAACAAAGGGAGGAAAAGGTCAGGATAAACAAGTTTCTTGAAAACACCGTGTGTTTTGGAGCCAGCTATGCAGGGGGATGGGTATCCTTCTGACTGAACTGAGCTGATTAGCGGTGGTGTAGAAGCCTGCAAAATGCTAGGAGCTGCAGGTATGTCCAGATGAGTAACAGGTTCCAGACAGGTTAACAGAGAGACACAGCAAGTTTTCCCCAAAGCCCGCTGTATTGCAGCAGCTGTGTACAAATCAGCAAGCTGTACACCGAAAGGGGAGGAAAAAAGAGGCCACATTGGGGGTAGTCGTGTTTAGCCTCTCTTCAGTAGTAACAAGGCATTGTAAGGGTTTGACTTCTGTGTTAGCAACTTCTGAAAACTAAAGCAATGACTTGCAGTGAGTTGATGGGATTGTGCGACTGTGTCCCCAAAAAGCCAGTTGCTCACAGGACAGTTGGGAAATTTTGGCCCTACTCTAACAGGCACCTTAAGTGGAGTCTAAATTGTATTCCTTCTAAGATGGTTCAGTTCTGACTCTTGAGTCAAACCCTCTTGAAGTTTCAGGAAGGACTCTTCAGCAGACCGGAATCTGACATCTGGGTCTTTAAGCTGTAGATTAAAACCTTGCTAATCCACATTTTAAACTGCCGTGGCTGAGGTCAGAGTTGTAGTTGAGGTCTCACGCAATATTCATGTAAGCACAAAACTGGAACAGCTTATCTGAAACGTATTTTTAAAAAGTCATTTATTTATTCTGGTGGGGCTCAATCTTCATCTGTTATGCATAAATTTAACTTGATTTAGTTAAAAAGCAAACCAAAGCGCTCAACAGGATTAAACCACTAGGACAATATCTGTTCAGAGGTTTTGTACAAATTGATCAGACTAAATTTTAAAACATATGAGCTAGACTGATGTGATTTTGTGTTCAGGTCTTACACACTTTTAGTAAAGACGCCACGAAACACTTTGTAACTCAAATTGAAAGAATAGTGATAGGAAAGCTAGCTTTTTCTTTGGTTTGTTTGGTTTTTTTTTTTCCTGAAATGAATAAAGTAATGTGTCCTGATACAGTGTAACCCTACTGCAGAACATAAACAAATGCCTCCACATGATGAAAAGAATTTACCCTGTGCAGAGGTATTTACAAAAAAAGCTGTAGTTTGTGTTTTAAACACCTGAAAACAGTAACTTTTTTTTTCTGTTGCTAGTGAAGTCAGTACTTGCAGTTCAGTATGTTGCGTTCAGTTGTGCATGTACTACATATTTCTTGCCATTTCCATTTAAAGAGGGAATTGCCAGTGTTTTTATTCCTCTTCTTTTGTTCCCTACTGGCAGGGAGATAAAAGTTTTAAAAAGCTATCAAATAGTCTTAAGAGTGTGAAAGAATGCTTGCACTCTCTCTACATCATCTTTTTTACTACAAAAGTCTGTTAGTGTGTCTGAGTGGCATGCTCATGGATCAGGGTGTAGAAGATACAAACCTCTGAACTCACCAAGAGCTATTTAGTCCATTTTTGCTTTCCCCTCCCGAAGAGGTAGTGCAATAAGTGTTGCCGTGGTGGTTGAATGCTACAGCTGCTGTCTGGGAGATGTACCAGATAGTAAAGAAAATGACCTTTAGTAGGACTGCAGGAAATATCCTGTGTCAGGACTGTGGCCAGATGTGAGTGAAGTTATGGGGTCATGATCTGAGCAAGCCCCTGGCATTCCCTGTGCCACATGTCCTGTATTCCCTTCATACAATTAAATAGTTGGAATTTAAAACTAAAGGTCCAGAATTGTATGAAGCCAGAGGATGGACTGTTATTGATGGGCTGCTTACCTTTTTTCCAGAACTGTAATTTTTAATTGTTGCCTTTTGCAGATCCCAAAGGAAATTCTCTGTACTCCTGTTATTAATTTTTGCACTAATCTTAACTGTCTCGGCATTTGAATTGTACATTATCAAACCATGCAGGCCAATTGTGTATAACGTAAAAAATTGCACATGCAACATACTTTCTGAATCCAGAGCCAAATGGATAGGTGCCTCACTTGCTTGGAAAGGGTGGTGGTAATAGTTGCGGTATATCTAAGGGTGTGGTCCTCATAAGGAGCCAGGCTGGCATCAGAGAGTGAAAACCAGCAGGTCAGTTCTAGTGTTGGTCTAGTTGACACTGAACTTGAAACTAAGAGAACTTGAGCAACGTGTTTCAGAAAATATTCCAGAGTTCCGATTTTAATATAACTTGTGGAAAATGTTATTTGTGGAATATGTGAAACAGAACTAAGCTACTGCATGAGTGAGATACATGATTATCACATTTTTTGTAAACTTATAGAAAAGAATTTCAGTACTTTTATGATGTTAGGAAATCCTCCTGGTGGCCATTGCAAAGAGTCCAAGTCATGGCCAAGCGCCAGGGTGCAAGGGTTTTCTTGCATTTGCAGGTAGGACCTTAACATGAACGGGAGTTCAGTGCCAGAAGAGCACTACTGTAGGGCAGAACCGCTCCCTTGTCAAATCACTAGTGTAAACCTGCATTGCTACAGGTATGGTAAGTAGGTGTGTTTCCTTTGTCATCTTGTTCCTAGGCAGAATACGGACTTTCTAGCCAAATTTTTATAGACTGTGATTATCTGGTCTGATTTTCTTCCTTGGTCAGTTCTAGCTGTAGAGATGGAAAGGTTTTCTTCCACACCACTTTGTTTATAACCATCTATTTTTTCCCCTTCACACCTCTCTTGGGCCTAACTGTGGCTGAAAGCCTAAAATGTGTAGAGCACTCCCAGGTCCCCAGAGGACTTGTTCATATTCCGTCATCCCTGCTACCAGTCACTGTGTATGCTTCCTACCTGTTTTGGGGCGAGGGGAGCCCTCCTGCTCTGTGCTTGTATCAGCACGTCACACACTGGGATCCTGGTCCATGGCTGTATTCCCAGTGTTGCTAACCGTCTTTGCTGCATGGAGCTGGTGGGTTTTTTATGAATGGAAGACATTTGAGTGGGCCTGTTTGGTTGAATGTGTATGTTGTTTTACATGGATTAAGCAAACTGATCTGCTTCTTAAAATCTGCAAAAATAGGATATTACTTTATAAATAACTCTTTGGTCTTTACCTTGCCTCCCTAGGGTTGTGCAGTATCCTGCACTCTGACATTGCCAGGTGCCCCTGTTGTCAACCTTCCACCGTCTTAATTTGTGAATGACAAAGGCAAAATTTGCCACCTTGGTGGGGTGAAGGATTTCTGTAAGAAGAGTTCTTTTATTCCGACTGAAGAGGTGCTTGGTCTATGGCACTGTTCATCAGCTGGTGTCCCCACAGGTTTTTCACATCTGGTTTATGAGTCTGGCTTCCTACGTGGGTAAACACACTGTAGGAGCTGGTATTTGGTGAAAGGATTCAACCCTTGCATCGGTTCAGAAAGGGCAGTCCAGTGGGAGGTGGCTCTCTGGTACCTTTCCCTGGCATGGCTGGTTGGTGTTGTGGCCTGACTGCAAGGAGCCCTCTGCATTAGCAAGTCTTTGCTTGGGCTGTGTGCTGTTACCAGGGTGCTGTTGGCAGAGATTTGCATAGTATGTAGACATGCCAGAGGGATGGGATGCCATCCAGAGGGACCTGGACAAGCTCAGGAAGTGGGCCTGTGTGAACCTCATGAGGTTTAACAAGGCCAAGTGCAGGGTCCTCCACCTGGGCCGCGGCAACCCCCGGTATCAATACAGGCTGGGGGATGAAGGGATGGAGAGCAGCCCTGCCGAGAAGGACTTGGGGGTACTGGTGGATGAAAAGCTGGACATGAGCCAGCAATGTGCGCTCGCAGCCCAGAAGGCCAACTGTATCCTGGGCTGCATCCAAAGAAGCGTGGCCAGCAGGTTGAGGGAGGTGACTCTGTCCCTCTACTCTGCTCTGGTGAGACCCCACCTGCAGTACTGCGTCCAGCTCTGGAGCCCTCAGCACAGGAAAGACACGGACCTGTTGGAGCGGGTCCAGAAGAGGCCCAGGAAAATGATCAGGGGGATGGAAC